TTTTTGAATACTTACCGTGAATATTAATTGTAGATAACATTCAAATAATTGGTATGTCAGCTACAATTGGAAATATGCAAGAAATAGGTGACTTTTTAAATGCTCACGTGTACACGAGAGATTTTAGACCTGTTAAGCTCACCGAAACTATAAAATTGAATGAAAAAATATTTGTGATCAATAAAGATATTGATGGTTCTTTAAAAAGTAAACTTGATAGAAAATTACATTTTGATGTAAGTTTAAACTCTTGAACATTTATTTGTGATTAAAAATAATAATTACTTTTAATTAGGATTATTCAACTGATATGAAACAATTAGATCCCAGTGGTATAGGGCTTCTTGTTCGCGAAATATTACCAGATGGTAGCTGTTTAATTTTTTGTCCTACCAAGAGCAGTTGTCAGAGTATTGCCAAAATGATCTATAAGACAATTGGGCAGTAAGCATTATTCACAATATGATATTGTTATCATTGAAAACTTACAGAAGGTAGTAATATTTTATAAATCTAATAGTGAAGAAACACAAGTTAAACTTAAACAAAAAGAAGAATTGTATAAAGCATTGAAAGAGGAAGGCGACGGTAAAGTATGTCCTTTATTATCCAGAAGTATCCTTTTTGGAGTTGCATATCATAATTCAGGTAAGACCCTAAGTACATTTTAAATAAATAATACCTACCTAAATGCCTAATAAATGTATAGGGTTGACAAATGCTGAAAGAAAACTGATAGAAGAAGCTTTTCTGGATGGTATTCTTAAATGTATTTGTTGTACATCAACATTGGCAGCTGGTGTAAATCTTCCAGCCCAAAGAGTAAAATTAAACAATTAATATTTTAGAACTAGACCTAAGTGAAAAACCTATTAGATTTACAATACGTAGAATTTATTTTATTTTAAACCGCATTTGTGACAATAACTGCAACATAGCACTTCTATTAATTGAAAATTACTAAAAAAAAATTTTTTTCATAACAATTTTATTTTCAATAATTATTGTTGTTGAAAGAAGTGTAAAATTCCAGGTCCTTGGTCCACCCATCATGTAATACTGCTCGCCTTTATTAAAATTAAAGTTTCTATTTGTTAGGTTATAATAACATCGCCATATGTTGGACGAGACTTTATGAAACAAAGCACATACAGACAAATGGTAGGACGTGCTGGTAGAGCTGGTCTGACAGAAAGTGGCGACAGTGTACTGTTGTTTCAAGAAAATGATAAAGAAAAGGTTATTATTAGTTTTTGAATACATTATAATTTTACAAATGGGTTTTTTATTTTATAATTTTTATAACAATTAGCTTAGTTCACAAATATAATGACATACCTGTACATATTTTTATGGAATTGATGATAAAACGTATCAGTATAAATTTTAATAATGAACAAATATATTCTTTTGATTATATATTACTATTACTATTTTAATTTTTAGATAAAAGTATTACTAGAAAGTGGTGTTGAACATATTGACAGCTGCCTTGGCACAGAAGAAAGTGTAGTTTATTCAATGATATTAAGCTCTGTAAGTACAGGGTGTACGTCTAGTCAACAACAACTGGTCGACCTGATGAAGCGAACACTTTTTATTCAACAAGCTGAGAAACGTAATGCCGAATGTACAGTTGCATCAGATTTAGTAGAATCCTGTTTAGATAAATTAAAATCAATAAATGCATTTGATAAGCCAATTGAAGATAAATTAAAATTAACAACAATTGCCAAAGCTGCAGTAGCTGCCAACTTGGACATATTAGAAGCTCAAAAATTATATACAGAATTATTGGAAGCCTCAAGTGCATTAATATTGACTAATAAACTTCATTTATTATACTTAGCCGTCCCTTATACGGAATGTATCACAATAGAACGTCAAAATGTTTTAGATATAGTAAGTATTGCAATAGGTCATATTACATATTCTATTCCAGCAAAGAATCATATTTAGTGGCGGCCAGCAATCAGGCGAGACCCTTACATTACCTTCACTGAGTCTACCATCTGTATTTTCAGCTTGATTAAAATACACCATTTCTGCTGCCTATTAATTTTCTTGATTTAAATGAGGCATAAGTGTAATAAAGGTTTTTAACTTATATTTTCTTACAGATGACAAATTTACAAGGAGACCAACAAGCATTAGCTAACCGATTGGGATTAAACGAATTATGTATATCACAATTCATTAGTTATGGAAAAATCAAAGTAAGAAGTTTTCTTTAATCAAAAAAAAAAAATGTCATTCTTAATATTCCATAACTATTGTATTAACTTGGTTATGCTCAAGAACATACTATCAAATATATATTACTAAATTATATTAAGTTCAATTTTTTTCATGTTTAAACTATTAGAATGTACCTGAAAGTATTTGGAATAAGTTTCTCATGAGTTTGATTTTGAACGATTTATGGAATAAAGAATCTATTTGGACAGTGTCTAAAACATACAACTTGCCAAGAGGAACAATATATTCATTCTTATCAAGGACTGCATCTCATGCCTCTTCCATATTAAGATTTACTGAGGTAAATATATACTACCTACATTTAAGGTTTTACAATAACTGTGGTGCCCGAGATATTTTTTTCAGGCTTAGCAAGATATGATTTTTCCAACCAATTCTCAAAAATTTAGGTTTTGTAACTATAATTGTGTAAAACAAATTCAATTATATTTAAGTCTACTTTGCTCAATAAAATGAAAAAGTAATCAAGTTAGTTTCACTTCCCCTAAATATTTTTTTTCTATAAATTTACTTTCACAATTAATTGCTCATAAATATTAGTAACCACGGGCCATAAAAAAATTATCAGCTTGTTTGACATGCCTGCTCCAATTTATGCCTACTGGTAATGTTCTATCAAAGGTGTGACTGTAAATAGGGTTGGGCATTACTCAACTAAAATAAATAATGTGGTTGAAGTTAAATAAGTTGTAAATTTTAGGCATTAGAGGATAAAAAATTAGATCATTTTCCAATGTTATTTCAAAATATTGTTCCTAAACTTAACATAGGAATATTAGGAAGTTCATCAGATCTTGAATCATTAATGAGTTTGCCATCAGTAAGATTTGTAAGTATATGATTTTTTTATTACTCTAGACATTTTTGTTTTTAAATCAAATTAATTTAAGTGTTTATTATAGGGTAGAGCAACTCAACTGCATAAAGCAGGCTATAAAACATTGAATGATGTAGCTAAAGCAAATAAGAAAGAATTATGCAATGTTATTAATCATTTACCATTAAAAGTAGCTCGTGAGATGATTGCTTCTGCTAAAGTGATTTTTTGAACTATAATTTTATTACTTGAATTATTTTTTTATAATTATTTTTTCTTACATAGCTTATGTTGTTGTCGGAAGCAGAAGCACTAGAAGAATTAGCTGAAAGTTTGCGTGCAGATCTAAACCAATCTATGTCGAAAAGTAAAGATAATTCGTTATGGTTCTAACAAGTTTATCCTGCTTCAATTGCTTAACCATTCCATCAAGAGGACAATTTTTACTCTAGTCTACATATTAAAATCTACACATTTACAAATGAAAACGATCAAGTGACAATGAATTATAAAGAAAACTTATTTTTGTATGTTTATTTTTGTTTAATTTTAGTTATCAGATTTAACAATTATTTATTTATTCAAAGAGATAAATTCTCTTTTAAAATATGTCTATATTTATTGTTTAAGTTAAGTTTTTATTAATAATTTTTTACCAAACAAGTTGTACCTTTATTACTAAATTATTAAAATACTATATTTTCAGTTGATGAGTTATGATCATTGATTACATGTTTACATTTTAGAATAAATAGCATAAATAATGTCCACCAAATTGCACCTCCACTGGGAAGGCCTTTGGGTTTTGAATCAATTTGTATTTTTAAAATGCAGCTTTTTGAGTACAACTGACCATGATGAACAACATGGTTTACGTCAGCATCTAATATCTATTTGTAGTTGTTGTTAGTTTTGCCTTGAAGTCTTTAAGTTGTCATTCTCAGTTTGATGTTATTATTCAAAATAATTGTTTATAGCATTTGATATGGTGTATCACAATTGTTGTCTTATTCATTACAAGTCAGTTGACATCAAAATCATGGTTTTGTATCCAACTAAAGAGAAGAAAATGGTGTGTTAAATTTAATGGTGTACGACTTGATAACATCCATGTTACTTTTAAAATTTCACAAGATTGAAATTTGTAAATGTTTCTGTTTACGGTTTCACAATGAAAATTGTCCTCAATATTATCATATTGTTCCTTATTTTTACAGACGTTGAGCTTCTCCTTAAACAGAATTATTTATTACACGATTGGATGCATCTTCAAGACACTAATTCTATGGTAATGGTAGTATTGTAGGCAGGCAAGTAAGAAGTTGGGTCTTTATTTTAACGTATGGAAGAATCATACTATGTCTTATCTGAAAATTTACTATTAATGGTTTCAATCTGATCGATGGGCCTTATGTACTTATAACTAATATAGAGGTGGCTGATCTTAACTGCATACTTAATAAAAAGAATAACAAGTTAAAGAATATAAGTTTCTTTATTGTTCTATTTTGGAGCATGAGTACGAAGTTGATAAGTGTCAACTAAAAATCTGAAGTAAGAAGTCTAATATTTTTGTATGAGGTTTATTATTCATTTTGTTTATTTTAAATTGGTATCTCTTAATTAAAATACTTTAATGAAAACATTTAATTTACATACTATATATTATAAAATCAATTTGCTTATTCAAAGCTGCCAGGTTTTAGATTTCATAACATAAACATTGTTTTAATTCAGCAACAATTTTATAATTTCAATAAATACATGTGGACAAATTACAAATAAATGAAACCATTATTCATTAATCATTTACTTACGCTGTAATTTACACAAATATATAATTAAATAGAAGTTCACACACCTATAAATTATAGTAAAATACCAGTCAGATAACCTCATAAATGAAAACATAGTATATATATAAGTTTAAATATTTGATATTTATTGCAATATGGTATGATATTACAAGTAACAGAAAAGTTTTCAAATAATTTAATTTTATGAATAATACTTTATGAATAACAAATGAATAATACAATATAATGAGCATAAACATGCAACAAAAATTATTATATACTTATTACCTCTGAAATTAATATAATATTTACTATGTAGCAATGTTATAAAATAAAAAAACTCAATAGAATAAATATTTTACTGTATAGGAATGACAGAAAGGAAATTATAATTACAAATTATTTTGCAGGTGATACAGGTTTTTTCAGTGGAGTCTGTTTAAGTTGAAGAATGATAGATCTCATGCGTGTTACATCTTTACTAGCACGACTGGACTTTGGGTTAAAATCACAGAGTTTTGAGATACGGTCCCATTCAGTGCCTGGCTCAATTTCATCAGATTCAGCAACAAATTGTTTCTCTGCATTTCTAGATAACAATCAAACAAATGATAATATTATCATAAATAATAAAAAAAGTCAATACATTTTCTAATTGAAAATCATCATCAATCTATTAAGTCTGAATTGTTGTACTACTCACATTGCAGATTCTCTATTCCAATGAAGCATTTAAAGAAAATATGTTTATAATATAATAAAATTTAACATAATGGTATATTTTAAAATATTAATTTATATTACCGATTCACGTCTTTAGTTTTTGCAATTTGTTCTTTGTGAATCTTATACCATTCTTCCAATTCACTTTTAGCGACCAATCGTAATTCTTCCTTCTTTTTTTCTTCATCAGCATCTATTGGCATATTCACAAAATACATTAGGTAAAAGTCACACAATTTTCAATCAATATAATACTATACCTTTTTCTTCTAATCGAGTCTTTTGTTCTTCTCGCCATTTTTTAATTTTTTCTGGTTCTTCTCTTTCAATTTTTGGAGCATTTATTGGAGACGATGTATCTGAAGAAAAATAGAGAAACAGATAGTTGTAAGTCATTTAAATTATTAAGACTTATTATATTTTTAACATTTATTATCATAGCCTGAAAATAATAATTTACTCACAAACTTTTTTTGGTGAAACCAATTTTTTTACTGCACAGACATGTACAAAATATAGAAAAACTATTTTTTTAATTCTACCGATCGTTGATTTTACAATGAGTGTTTTTTATTTTAATGAAGCAGAAGACACTTCTGTTAGTAGAGAAATGCTCTGAAATCAACTTTGAGAGGGGTTGTTGGTAAAACATTTGGTCTAATATTTTGATGGGTTAAAAATAAAACATTTCTCAGTGCTATTTAAAATAAGACTATGGTTAGTATTCTTACTCCCCGCTAGAATTCTATTAAGTCCCTTCGGACACAAAAAGGTCCGGCAAATTTTGACTAGGTGCAACCGATACCTACTGTACAGCAAAGCTGTTATCTGTTATCCCTCACCTACTTTTTAAATGTTTGTAGATATAAAATATACTATCATAACTTATAAGTAGGGCTCTTGTACATGAAGTATGCACTTAAAACTCCCAAAAAGTTTTAAAAAATATGCATTTATGTACTAAAATAGCCAAAGATAATATATTATTTAAAAAATATGAATTTGATTTTGTATTAGTATAAAACAATATACAGCAATTTTTTATTATTATTGTATAATCACGAGTTGTTACATTTTTATTTTTTTGTTATTTTACAGTTTTTACTTTAGATTAATATAGTACGACATACCATAAAAATCAAAATGAGACCTTAATATTGCAAAATATTTTCTAACCGTTAAATGTTGAAAAATTAGAATTTTTAATAACACATTAATTTAATATATTATGTGCTTACATCTCAAAAAATACTATCATTTACTAAAAATATACAAATGTATCCAACCCCTACTCATAAGCAATAAGTATTTTGAAATCGAAATCACATGAGTGTTATTTAAAAGAATCAAGTTATAAATAATTAATAAAATATATATTATGGATTTTAAATTCTTAACTAAAAGAAAAATTGCAATTAAAACAATGTTATGAAATAAATCTCTTAATATTTTCTCTACAATAAATGTTAGTAATTTGTTTTTTGATTAATTTATTTTTAATGTGATTGAAGCTACTCATTTATGTTTTCATTTCAATTACATAATATAATAAATATTTAAAATAATCATTTTAACATAATGCAATAAACCAAAATAAATTTATATCCATACATGTATGGTAAATTTGTAGCATTTTACTTACCATCATCACTATTTGTAGCTGTAAAACCATTGGTTAATCCATTTTCTAGGTCAAAGGAAAAAAAAACAAAACAATAATAAAACAACACTTGCAAATAATATTGGTAGAAAAGCATTACAGAAATTGGCCTAACTAGACTTCAACTAAATAGGTGCTTAGGGTTTTATTAAATAACACAAATTGTTGATTAAAAATAAATGATAAATGTAAATAAGAATTTGGATTAATCTCAAAGGATAATATTTATAACTATAGTGTTCTATTAACCCAAAGCTACCTAGTTGTGCCAATGATTTTATGAATAAAATAAATTATTTGGTACCTATAAATTTTTATTTGTTTATTTTCTTCAAAATTAAGCTTAAAAATTAAATTGATAATGGCTTCAAAATGTAATTTATATTTAACATTTATCACAATGATTAAAAAAATATATATTTTAAAAATTTTAAGAATTTTAATAGGAAAAATTTGTTTAACTATTTTAATCAATTATATTATACTATGTTTGTTTTTTTATTCTACAAAAATGATTTTATTGTAATATATTTGAATAGATCAATAGAAATCAAATATCTAATTGGAAATATACAGCAATAATAAGGCTATGGCTGTGAAGCTTGGACTACCACTAGTACAACCGAAAGACTTAGGACTTTTGAAAATAGAATTTGGAGGACAATATGTGGATCAACTTATGATAACATCAATACAATTTGAAGAAGAAAATACAACCAAGAACTACAAGACGAGTTTGGAATTGCACCAGTTATCAGCTTTATAAAAGGGCAAACGATCCAATGGTTAGGACACATGATGCGAAGAAGCAAGGAAGATATAAATAAAACAATCCTAAATTGGAAACCAATAGGAAAAAGACCTCGAGGGAGACCCAGGAAAAGGTGGCTGGATGTAGTGGAAGACCTTGAAAGATTAGGAGTACGGGGATGGAGGGAAGTAGTTCAGGACCGTGAAAAATGGAGCGATATTGTGATGACGACCAAAACTCTTAGAGAGTACTAAGTGCCAGAGAGAGAAGAATTGGAAATATAGTCTTTTAATAGTTTAATGTTATTAATCATTTTAATATACACAACTTAAAAAAGGTCGTATAACTTATGAGATTATCCAGAAGATTATTGACACATTACAATAGACAATTTATTTTAACTACTAGATGTACAGGGTACACAACTTTTCATTACTACTAAAATTATGGGCTGAAACGTTTAATTTTTTTTTTTTAATATGTTCTATAAAGTAACTGTCATAAAATGTAATACATTTCATTAAAGCTATTGCTGTTATAACCAATGTAATGTGAATATTAATAGTTTAAATAAATAGCTAAAAAGATAAAATTTGCTAAAACTTTGGTATGTTTTATTTGAATGAATTTTAAATCTGACAACTCACCAATCACAGGGTTAGTTAACTGGTTTTCTGCGCTATCAATTATTTCAAAGCTGCTTCCTGAACCTAATTGTACATACAATTCATAACATGCAGAAAAAAAAAATATATAAAGGTATGAATAAAAAGCTTCACAAAGCAGGCAAGTGACAACTAAAATAACTGTATTCTGCTAGTCAAAATTACTAGCTGTTACCATTTGATAATGTTTGGGTGACACCGATCGGTACGTTGGGTGTGTTGAGATCGTCTTCTAAGCCCGCCAATTGAGTCTGTTCTCGAGCCAAAAATTCTGCGGCTGGATCGACGTCTCCATCATCGAAATTATCACCAAAGTTGTCCATCACTTCTATAACTGTACGCAGAAAAAAACAACAATTATAAGCTAAGTAGATAAAGTTTTATAACAATAAAGCAGTTGTAGTAAAAATGATGAAAGGGCCGAGCTGACTGAACTATAATATAGGTAGTATTTAGAGATAAGATAACGACGACAAATGCATCGGAATAAAATTGCCAATAAAGGCGTATTTCGATATCGAATTCCCCTGTCGAGTTAACGATGACGTGTAAAAATAGTTGCAGACTTACGTTCTGAAATTCGTCCTTCGTCTGAAATAGAGGATTAGCGCTAAGTAACTGTTCGCAGTTACCCGTATGGAGAGCCTTTAGAAAATCGGCAGGAAAAAAATAAAACAGAGAGCTGCTGATTAGGCCGGGATTTTAATGATTTAATGACAAAATGAAATGTGAGTGTCGGATGGCAGAGTGTGGCACAGTCACTGAACACTGGGTAGTGGGCAGGAGTGCAGCAGCCAGCAAGATTAGACAAGTAGCTGATTGGCGATTGCTGATATTACCCAATAATACATGATAAAATGACAAGGTTTGATGGCAACGAACTGAAATATCGTCGGGTCTTGCGCATGTCATTGCACCCAGTTCGTAGCAATAAATACGAAATACCCCATAATATATAAATTATATACATGTTAATCATGACGACCAATGAAAAACGGATAAACTGGTTACTGATGGTTGGTGGGGGTAATGCGTATGCGTATCATTAACTTGCCATCATACCATGTTATTTTACCATGTTATATGTAGTGTACGTCATACCACAGAATAATACGGACGCGGGACGAATATAAATTGTATGTATTATAGGTGGTATTAATTGGTATTAATACCACAGTACCACTATTGTTCAATGGTGGTTCTAGTGTACCACTAAGTAGTCAGTAAGTAGGAACTAACTGTTTCCAGTATTTTTTCCATGATAATTTTCTACTGATAATATTATAAACTGTTTTTTTTCTGATGTGGGTAAAAAATATTTAAAATTTAACGTTTTGATATTTAATACGTTTCTTTATAATATAAAATATTATTAATAACTTATTACCATAATACTTTATGTATATTATTGTTATATTTTTAGTAACAATTTTCAAATTTCAGCTCTAAACTAAAGACTACCATTTTAATAAATAATGAAAACAGTATAGGTTGATGATAATTAGGTACTTGACTTTAAAAGTGAAACTAACCTAACCATGTTGATTTTTGTTCAAATTTAATGCCACTGGACATAATTAAATATTTACTTATCGAAGCTTTTTTCAAAGAAATTAACATTTTATCTTAAATAAATCGAAAAAAAAACAAAAAATTTTATGAATTATGTCAGTACTCAGTAGGTACCTACAGTTAGAACTTAAAAGCTATTAATATTTGAATTATTTTATATTAGGTATTAGGCATCTATTTTTATTGGTGATCGAAATAAAAATACCCAGAAAAAAAATCCCTCGACCAATGACCACGGCAAAAAATCCCCAGACTACAATATTACTCACAACCACATACAAATGGTTGAACAAATATTTTTTAAACGTTAATTAGTATCTTTAATTAGTAATTACCACGTTATTAATATTTAACTACAAATACGTTTAAAATTTAATATGTATACATCTTGATCAAGTAATAACCAGGACGCAATTCGTACTTACTGTTGCGAGATAATAGGGGATGCAACTTAGATGTTGCGATGATTTTTTTCATATTTAGGAACGTAATGTTACGTATACGTATGTGACACTAAATTAATCATTAAAGTTGGGAAATAATTCACTAGTTATAAATTAGAATTGTATTTTATGCATAGGTGGAGATCGGTGGGGGGGGGGGGCTTANCCCCCCCCAAAAAAATAAATAAATAATAATTTGAAGTTAAAGCCCCCCTAAATATTTAAGAAACAAAAACATACTTTTATACCGATTACAGAATGTTTTAGGGATAATTTATTATTATTATTATTATTATTATTATTAAATAAATATACCTAAACTGTAAAAAATAAGAATTTTACATCAAATTTATATGTAAATTTGTTTTTGTTTGGATTCAAAAATTATATTTAATAATTAATAAGGACTAGTATTTCTTACAGTTGTTATTTCACGAAAAACGATAATAACTAGGCTGATGCCAGATATCATAGTGAGCTATTCTGGCTATTATATACATTGAAAAAGATTAAACTAAATCGTTACTAAATGACACTATTTTAAATATATTTGAAAAAAAAGTGTAATAGGTTAATACAATTAAGTTAAAAATGGCAATTGTATTATATTCATTTTTCCTTTTTTGTGAGTATTCTAATTAGTAGGTATAATAAAGAGAATTTTTAATTATTTTAATGAGTTACTAAATATAAAAAAAGTGTTGGGGGTGTGGGGGCAAAGCCCCCACTGGTTTGTTTGCTACCAACTATTTGAGCCCCCCTCAATATTTCAAAGGATCTCCGCCTATGATTTTATGACTATTATCATAGAATAAATTATTATACTTGATATTATATTGCGATAGTATTTAATTACGTAAATCCACAAATATATTATAAATTACAATACGCAACTTTGCATATCAAAGAGATACGTGTTTACAAATTGTTTATTGGAATTTGATATGACAATAACCAAAAGAGCTTATAATTTATAAATTCAAGTCTTATTAATTTTCTTTAAATTTTTGTCGATAAAAAAATTTTCTCTGTTAAAAAACTTGAAAATGTAATGTGACAAATGATAATGGTCTTCGTGAGACACCTAAGCTGTCAGCGGAAATTTAAAAAAAAAAGTTAAGTGTAAATCCATGATAATTTTTTATTAGCGTCTGAAATTAAAATGTTTTTTTTTCTTTATTTGGAATAAACAATCTGTACCTATGAGGCACAATGAGTACATGCGATGAGAGATACAACATATACAATTAACATTAGTACAAAATACTAACCTAATATAACCATATATTTACATGAATACACGGGTTGTGAGAAGCCATCCATTAATGACACTCACTATGGGTATTTATTATTATTATTATTTTTAATATTTTTTTTGTTGTTTAAATTTGGATGGGGGTGATGAGAAGGTCACGATACCAATTGCGTTTTAGACGCCTAGGAGGATCGCCAGGAATGGTCGGGACTGCGAGATCGCGGATTAGTGGATTACTGTTGGTGGACAGACGGTTATGAAAACGCTTATAATGTGCTTTGGCTTCTTCCTGGACAGTTTTCATTTTTAAGTCAGAGTGGATAGTTCTGTTCGAGATGTAAGGTGGAGCATTGAGGAGTTTCCTGAGGGCTAAGTTTTGAAAGGTTTGGATTTTGTTAAGGTTAGATTTTTTAGCATTACCCCATAGCTGGATGCCATATGTCCATATACAGGCTTAATTAGGGATTTATAGATGAGTAGTTTTGTATTTAGGTTAGTGTGTGTGTTATTAATTTATTATTGATAAATGTTTTGAGCAAACGAAAACGAGCATTAAGATTTAGACGCTTAGATTTTATATGATGAGCCCAAAGTCTAGGATTAAACCGAGGTATTTAACCGTTTGAGATTTGGGAATTTGGGAGCCAAAGATGGAGACAGCAGGGCAAGGTAATAGTCTAAGAGTGAACGTAGTATGCACAGATTTCGTTTGATTTATTTCTAACCTCCATTTAGACATTTAGTGTACCCATCTTCCACGAGAGATAGATGATTTTGTAGGTAGCTAGAAGCTGTGGGGTGTGATAGGATGGTCTGAAGCATATATATTGTAGAGCAATAAACCTAACCTTGACAAAAATTATCAAAATAACGAAAACTTTCAAATTGAGTGTAATTAAACAATTATTAAATGTTAAATTTTTATAGCTGAGGGTTCAAAATTTAAAACAAGGGTTCTCATGAATAGTTCATACTGTAACCAAAAAATCTAAAAAATACATAAACACCGTAATTTTTTACAAACATCATAAGTTCAAATTTGGACAAAATTACATAATTAAAACCAGGAATAATGATATTTTTTTGTAAATCAAAAATTCTATTCGTAGGTATATGAACATTTTAGAGTACCTATATATTATATTTTATAGGTACATACTGCAATGACAATTTCAAATTTAATTTTTTTGGCTAAAATTAATTTAGGCATTTAGCCTACTATTGTACTAATGCTTAATAGAAAAATTAATTACTTTAATCACAATCATAATTCATAAGTATCAGAATCGTTTTTCATGTAATCGTGCACAATGATTTTATATAATTGGATTCAAATTTAACACTATCCATTACAGCGACTCACTAGAACCTACAGCACAGCAGAGTGATATCCACTTACCGTAGAATGGCCTTACTTGGGACATGTGGGTAACTTGAATACAAATGATATAGTATTATCAATGATAAGATTTGAGCACTAAAAATGCTGTTATCACCTCCGTATAATCACACATTTGTTTATCATCACTTTCACAACGATCTTCTTGATGCGCAGACGTTCTCACATTTTAAGTACTTATTATTTAAATATAAATAGATATGTAGATTATTATTTTTTATAAAACCATGTTAAAACTTAGTGTATAAAAAGCTTGCTATTAGTTGAATGTAAATGTGGGTTACAACATTTAGTTGCAGCAACCACACGTGAATAATATACAATATTTCATTGTTATCAATTATATGTAATTTTTGCTGTTATCGTGAAATTTTGAAAATAAATAGTTTTTATGGTAACTTGGGACAACGTCCCAAATTAGAATTAGTGTCCCAAGTTAGGTAATTTTGATGTGACATCATTTTATTTTTCTTGATATAAAATTTAAAACTATTGATATAAAACTTGATTAGGTATCTATGACATATAAATATATTTTTTTTATTTAGACATACAATAGGAAAGTACAAAAAAAAAAATTGGAGGTCGATCATATCAAAATTATTCCCCCCAGTCGTTACAAAAAGCTATTAATGATGTTATATCCAAAAAACTTACATATCGTGATGCAGAATCGAAGTACGGGGTTTCAAAATCAACCATTCAAAGAAAAGTGAATGAAAAAAATATGTTGAAAGTTGGTAGGCATAATGCTCTTTCAAATGTTGACGAGGAAAGTTTAGTCAATGGGATAATTTTATCGAGCAAGTGGGGTTTTCCGTTCACTTCTCTCGACATAAGGCTAATAGTGCAGAGAGTTTTTTAAATAATAATGGTGTCAAAGATCCAATATTTAATGGTAATTTACCAGGATACACTTGGGCTAAACATTTTATAAACCGTCACATGTCTGTTCTGAGCGAAAGATTAGCTGAAAATATTAAAAGGTCAAGGGCAGGAATAAATCCACATATAATAAAGCAATATTTTGACAACCTTGAATATTCATTGGCTGGAGTTTTACCACAATTAATAATTAATTATGACGAAACTAATATGACTGATGATCCTGGAAAATGTAAAGTTATTACAAGATTGATTTGTTAAAGAAAAAGAATAATATTTATTTTACCTATTGTTTTATCTAAAATATGTACTTATTATTCATGTTATACCT